TGGAGGTTTCTTCCTGTTCAAAGGGAGTTTTTCCTCTCCACTGTCGCTATAATCAGCTAGTTTTCATTAAATATAAAACTTTGAATCAATCTGACTGGATGAACTGGAAAGTGCCTTGAGATGACACGTATTGGCTCTATAGAAATAAACTGAATAGAGGAAATGCCAGGAGCAAAAGCCACCATTTGTTTTATAAAAGAAACCTGAAGTCTAATTTTCCTGGTTTGGCTCCAGTTGATTCATTAGTTTCCGATTTCAAAATGTCAAATATTAAGGAATTTGCTGCACAAGTTCCACAGAAGCTGGATTTCCACCATAGTCTGACATCCAGCCACTGATTCAGCTTCAATCCACGTTTCCGGCTAAATTTGTGAACAACTTTATTTAATCAGGAACGAACTGTGTAACATTAACTTTGGGTTATTTTCCTGCCCAGTGAGCATAATGAGTTTCTCCCATAATGCCCCCCAACTTCAATTTCTGCTCCAGTTCTGAAGCTGTTTTATTAAGCCGGACATAATGCAGGAAAACAAACCGTTCATTTAATTCTTGGATGAAGTTTCTCAGCTCATCAGGAAAAGCTACATTTGAATCCTGTTCTAAAAACTAAATGTTTTCCAAAACTTTTAAAGAGAAAGTCTAAATTAAGGGTTTATTTCTTTGAACAGAGCCGCTCTGCAGCCGATCACTGACCTGGAGGCAGGGACTGTTTGAGCTTCTCTGCCTTCTCCTTGTCTGTGATGACCAGGGTGTACAGGTATCTGCTGCAGCGCACCTTGAACTTCACATTGTCCTTGTTCTTCTTGATCTTTACGGCTGAAAGACAAAACCAATACATATTCTATTTTATTGCTTTAGTTCCCAGGAGCCTTTATGCTTCACTTCAACATCTTACTGATAATCTAACACAGTTGAAATATTTCTGAAACAGTTGCCTCAGGTGGTGTTTTTCATATAAACAAATCAGGGTAAACTAACTGGCTAAAGCAGAGGTGTCAGAGGCTACGTTCACACTGCAGCCGGAAGGGACCCAAATCCGATTTTTTTGGCCCATATACGACCTGGATCCGATCTTTTCATGGCAGTCTGAACAACACAGATCCGATTTTTTCCAATGTGACCCAGGCTGCTTGACTATGTGGTCCTGAATCAGACCTTTTCCAAGGCGACCTGTGTCTGAACGGCCAGGTAACATTCATCTGACCTGAACCCCATTAATACTCGACAAAGGGCCCCATTCTGGGTCTTGCTGTGAAGAAACGGCAAGAAAAAACAACAACCGTGGCAGAGGATGCGGAGAGCAGTATTTATGTTTGACCATGTTGAAAAGATTGTGTTTTTCTCGTTGGGAAAGATCGCTAGATGTGTTCCAGCACTATACTGAAGCTTTAAATAGTCGCTGCTGTAATCCTCTGGTTTACTGGTTGTTTTACCATCTTAAAATGTTAAATATAAAATAAGAAACCCTGCACCAAGATTATAGTCTGCATAATCTTAAGTCGTATAAGAAAACTGCGTTAAATCAGCCTATTTAATCGTGAAAAATGAATACTGAACATTTTTATGAACAAAAAGCAGTTTTTAAATCCTCCAGCAGAGAAGCTAAATTATTTCCAGTTCTGATGGAAACTGAGCATTGCACCAGCTAACCATAAAGCCACATGTAAACATCGTTTTAGTTTATGGATAGTTGAAGACGTCCTCTTCAAACTTATTGTCTTATACCAAAACTAACGCCAAACTTGCTTAAAATCAAACGGTCCACTTTATTTTTAACCGTAAAAACCTATGGTTAGATAAATCATTTGGCGTTCATATAAAAGAATGTCTCAAAAACATGAAATGAATAAAAAAATATAACTAAAAGCCTTTGTTCTCTTAATTTTCCCACCCTAATAGGAAGTTTATCTGAGTACAATAAAGGGAGTTTAACCTTCACTCTCTAAAACAATATATTCATATTATGAGAAACCATTTCTTTCTAGTTTAACTTGGCAAAATACTTATCCTTATATAAAAACACTGCAAAATCCTTCATCTTTACCGTTTTCAGGCTGCAGCCATGTCCCAAATTCGTTTTTCCAATTCTCTAGCTTTTTCTGCGCCTCGAAGCTTATTTTCAGAGCATACGACTTTACGATCAACCAGAGGCACTTCCGCACAAATCATCTTGATATATGTTTGAGGAAATTGTTTTCATAAATGCTTTTTTAATAAACCATTTTAAATGCCACAGTAATTGCATTGAATGAATTTTAATGCCGATTAAGGCCTTCTTTAAAAAAAAAAAAGATAATTTAATGACTTTAAATGACCCGCGGAAACCCTGTTAAAACATTGTGGGTTTTTATTGTAATTAGCAACAGTTAAGTCTTAATATTAATACTTTAATCTAGTATAAGGTAGTAATTGTTTTCGGCTAATAGAATAAAGCTGTAATCTTATGACATTTCTCTTAGTTTTGTCCTGATACTCCATGGTAGAGGCAGGAAAAAGGTTAAAACCCAAATAAGAGGCCCTCCATCTACAGACTGGGCTTCAGTTTTGTTACAATAATTATCATTGAAGATGTGTGAATTTATTACACCTTGGTATTGGCTGCCTGTTGTGTGTCAGAACTGATGTTTTAATCTAATCAGTGCAGTTTCTCTGTCCGAATATACCGTCATAATCTTCATTCTGTATGCGGCAATGATTTGGAAATGGAATGAGAGCGGCGTCCTTCAGCTAAGAATGAAGTGCCATATTTTAATAAGACTGGAGCCATGGGTGTCTCCTCATCTGCTAATGTTTATGATGTAAAATAAGATGCGGCAGACTGGAGATGTATAAAATACCTTTTTAACCGTTAATCATGGCCACCTGAGAGGTGAGCATCTGCCTTCTGTAACTCTAAACTTATCTGATCTAAGATTACAATTTCTATCTGAATCTGTCCTCCTATCTCATGGGGATTTAATACATTAAGTTATGAAATGTTATTTAAAGAGTTCATCCTGGGTGATCTCTTTTCAAGGAAAATAACTGGAGAGAGAAAGCATTAAGGTGTGAACTTAGAGCCTATCTTTCACTGTTTGAAAAGTCAAAATATAGTATTGAGAATCCCAAGAAACAAAGATATTAAAACCTGAAATGAAAAAAATAAATTAAATCCCTTACACTTGGCATCCTTCCTCCTGGCTGTCAGCAGGAAATCTTTGATTTCTTCTATCTTACGTGGCTAAAAACAAACAGAACAGATCATTAGCAAAAGGAGAATCTAAGAGAAAAGACAGAGGCTGTCTGATAGCTGCTGTCAGTGGACCGGTGGAACTGATGTTTCTGTTTAAAGCCGAAACTCAGCACTTGGTCCATCCTTTATTCTAGCAAGTTTGTGAAATGCATCACCGGCACTTCAGCCTGTGATGTTTGGACTTCTTGCTGTCAGTAAATCAAGCTAACGGCTCAGTTTTAGGCTAAACATGAGTCCACATCGCTTTCGACCACAATATAAACTAAAACACAATTTACCATCGGTCTAAAAGGTAAAGTGAGGCAGGGCCCAACAGTTGCGTCTTGCTAATGCTAACACCCAAAGCTAACTGCACATTACTGGTTAATAACCGCTAAGCTAGCTGGTTTAATTCAACACATGTAGCGAAAAACGACAGTAATTATTTTATAAGCATTGTTGACTGAGTGTTTAAAAAGCGTGGAAGTACTCACCATGTTGCCGTGAGAGCGGACCGATGACTGCGGAAGATCAGAGAACCTGGGGTTAATTTACTGACAATAATAGACTTAGCGAAGAAATGTTAACATCAAAGTTAGAGATAAATATTATATTATTAAACTCTGTTAGTTATAAGGCTGCATCTATGCTTTACATGGAGGATGGATGAGGATTTGTTCTGTTATTTGGTCGGTGTGTGAACGTGAAACTCACTCAGTCAGCCAGCGAGGGGACGAAAAGGGGCGGGACTTCCGGTCCAACGGAAGTTTATATCTCCGTACGGCAAACGTAGAAGACCAAAAAGACCTAAAAGCGAACAAATATCATGCGTGTTAAAAAACAAGAAATTTACTGAAATAAAGTCAGCTTCTAATATCAGTCATTATCACAACTAATCTTTAACGGCACGTGTGTTGAACGCTCCGTTTATTCATTAAATATTTTAAGTAAGTTTTGTTGTTTTGGCCCAGAAGAACAAAAAAACAAAGAAACACTTAAAGCGTTACATTGCTTTGAATAATCTTATAAAGACAGTTTGAGAATAACTAGCATATGTTTTTTTCTTTTAAGTTTAAAATGCACTCTGGAGAATATTAACATTTGACAATTAATTCAACAGTAAACTGTAAATAGCTAAAGAATCAGTGTCTTTTTAACAATGTACTCTTGATATGAACAACAATCTGAAGATATCTGTACTTGAGTATTTAAAGCATACCGTTCATTAAGGACAGTATGTCAGTTTTTCTTAATTGTTTTATCAATGCGTGCATCGATAGATAAATAGAACAATCTTGACAATACTTTATTAGCATTTTTATAATCGAGCACTAAAATATTATGTACGAGTTTTCTTAGTGGAGAAGAACATCATTCTAGTATTTAAAATGTTTTTTTTGGAGAAGGAAATATAAAAACTGAGACATGCATTTGTATCTTCCTGTTGTTACTCAGAAAATGTCCCAAACACCACCTTGTATTTCTAAATGACTCTTTTAAAAAGCGTCAAAGTCTTTGTTATTTAATATTTGTATAAATTTAGTTTTTGGGGTTTATTAAAGAATATTAGAGAACAAAAAAACACAGGACACAAAACACAGAACACCTTCCTGTCCATAAACATTTATACAGCAATGATGTCATAAAACAAATTAGTAAAAAAAAAAAGAAAGAAAGAAACTATGCCCACTATTCTGTTTTAAGCTTGCTGTTTTGTTTAATCGGTCTTTTTTGTTAAAATATGAGCCGAGCTTCAGCCGAGGATTTCCTCGTGAAAAGTGATCATTCAGTCAGAACAGTCGTCTTGTGCTGAACTCTTGCCATGTTTCTGGAGATTATTATTTCACGGCGCTTCCCAGCAGCTATTTTCACCTGTTGTAATGATGTGTTTTATATGTTTCAACATTTCTTGATGTAATAAGTGACGTTTGAATTTAATGAAGCAGCCTCCACTGGTCGCCTGGTAGCTTTTCCACACAAACCAGACTGTTCACTTTTCTAATAGAGATGAAGAATCTGAGATGGAGTTAATATTTAATTTACTTCTCTGATTGAACATTACACTGTGTGACTTTCAGCTCATTTTTCTGGGTCGTCAGCTTCTGGAACAAATAGGATCCATCGGACATGTTTTCCATGGTGTTTATTCTTTGCAGAGGACCGATAAAACAACATGGACGTGGATTTCAAAGTGTCTGTGCATATTCAGCCTTCATCAATCAACAGCTGCTTCTCCAAGGTGGCTGCTGAGGAATTTTCATACTGCATTATGGTGGCTTCTTCTTCCCTACTATTAATGTAGAAAAAGCGAGAATGTTCATATTTTTATGACCCAGATTTTTCTTTTTTTTGACTTCCTGTCTTAACTGAAAACTTTCAATCTGTTATACTTTACTTTATCTGTTAAGAACCTTAAAAACAAAATAATTTCATTATATTATGAAGAAAAAAACTAGGAGTTCTACTTATTTTATTGCATAATTTCAATTAAATAAAATTCTGTTTATCTCTATAGCACCAAATCACAACACATGTCATCTCAAAGCACTGTAAAACAATTCACCCAGATCATCCAGTCAGATTGGTTCAAAGTTTTCTATCTAAGGAAAACCAGCTAAATAAATCGATTAATTGACTCTTCAGCAATCCCTCACACTTAGCATGCTTGTAGCGACAGTGGAGAGGAAAAACTCCCTTTGAGCAGGAAGAAACCTGCAAGAAAACAGCAACTTAAGAGGACAAAGCTGAGGAATATGAACTGTGACAGATAAATGCTTGCAGTGAAGTCTATTTTTTATTATTATTATCTTATATTTCTATGTGGGAACTTTCTGGAAGGTTAATATGTGAGTAGAAGGAAGAACAAAAAGGAACGGGACCTGATACGACTCTTAGGGCAAAAGTGAAAGACAACAATATTCATCAGATCTTCATCTCCTGTAAAATCCTTTCCTTTTACACTCGTAGGAACAACAAATTCCTGGAATACTGGTAATAATTTTGGGGACTTTTTCAAAATCATCATAAGTCACTTCATTACACAGATAAAAAAAATCAGTCTCAGGAAATTTTAGCCTCTCTAGGGAACTGATATTTTCTGGAAATGGACACTGTTAAAATAGAAATAAAAAAAAACAATGTTTTGAGTTTATAGATAATTCATTTTTCCCCCTTTTTCTTGTAGTTAGTTTGAGAACAGATATTTTATTTGAATACATTTCTCATTTTTCTTATGTTACCAGTATTATTATATTTTTTTTTAACATTTAGGTTAAAAAAAGTGTTTTTAAGATGAAAGTTAAAAGCACATCAGCTTTTGGAGAACGAACAAATATTTTATCAGTCTTATTGATTTATGAGTTCAAATTAGTTTTCATGTCTAAATAAATGGAAGTGCTGCAGCGGTTAAAAGCATTTAAGAATAAACCTCTAAAGAAATTCTCATTTATCTCCAAAAACTGAAAACTACATAAAAACATTGACATTAATGAGACACACATTTTAGCCCTATAAGCCCAGTGGGACTAAACAAGTAGAAATAAGTAGACATTTCTTAAATTAAATGTAATTACCCTTAATTTGAGTACTTAAATTAGATTTTTTCTGTTAATCCTTTTTCTGCTGTAAACACCAGAATTCCCTCATTGTAGAACATTAAATTGATTTTCTATTCTTTTTATAATATTCTTTTAACTGCATTTTTTCCCTACTATATATTTTTGCTAACTATCATAGAGCATAATGAAGTGATCAGATTAGTTCAGTAAACAGATGTTTAATATTGACTTTATGCGCTTCCTCAGAGGACCCCCTGATGCACAAGAGTTGAAAGGCTTTCTTTTTGTTGCAGTTGTTGTTATCAGACACTAGATGGCAGCAGAAACCCACTGGTGAGAAATAAAGCGGCATCTCGTTCTGATTTGTTCCACTGGGAGGCGCTGTGTGCAAAGACATGAAATCCATCGGTCTCCAGCTCTCTGCTGTGAGAGGAAGCTGTTTGCAAAGCTGAGCTCTATTTTGATGCTCATACACCAGCCTGAGGTTTTAGCATATTGTGACTAAAATAACAAAACAAAAAACAAAAAAAACTTATTACATGCAGGTCTAACCCATTAGGGAACTAAAGAATCAGATAAAATCTACATTTCTTTTACTTTAATCTTACAAATCATCTTCTAAGGTTAACCTTTAGTTGCCTCTAATCAGAATATGTTTATTTTTTAATTTGTACTCTCATATTGCAGAATTATCTCTGAAGAGTGCCCTCCTCAGGCAGCTTTGATTCATTTCTCCAGCTGCTGAGTGAAGGTAAATTCATAAAGGACTGAAATCTCATTTGAGGTCTTGTTTTATTGCAGAGTACAACTGGTTTCAAAAAAGTTTCCCAAACCTGTGATTTCCCTTTTTTTTTTTGTATGAAAGAAATAATTGTAATAAAAATGCGTGTCCTCGGGCTGGATGATCGTATTTGTGGCTTTGCATCGGGTTATTAAACAGTCATACGGAGAACAAAAAAATTAGGTTAACTCTGGGATCCTTTTGGACTTTTAGCAGAAGCATGAAGTGAAGATGATTTCCACACAGACGTAGGTGATGATACACATCATGGCTGCCTGTAGGCTTCACGGGTGAAAACA